TCAATTATCAAATAGAGCCTTCGCCTAAATATTGAAAATTGACTCAATATTGGGAAACTGGAAGACGCAAAGTATAAGACCTTTTCCATTTAAAAAATAATAAGATAACAAGTGTAGTAAAAAATTAATTGGAGAGTGAATGTAATTAAATAACTGACACAAATAATGCACCAGTTTTCAAATCTTAAAAAATAATAATCTTTTAAATTATTTAGAGCACAATCTGAGGGCTGGCAACAGTAGTGCATGCTTCTTTTGAGCTTCTCTGCAAGGCTCCTTGGCTCCACCTAGCGCCAACCAATCAAAAATTACACCCTAGACATGACTTGGAAGTCATCGCATCACACTGCTGGTTTCTTCTTTTCCTGAGAAAAGCAAGCCACCACCTGGGGAGTTATCAGCTCTTCTCCATCAATCGAAGCTATGAAGTGTTTTAGCTCATTGCAAACCTGAAGGTTTGACAACCATATATGGCTGGATATGTCTATGCACTCATATCCTGAGAGAAATTCAACCCAAGACACAATTCATTATTTTATTCCATAGACCTTATTGAGTGCTGCCTGTGTACCAGGCCCTGTATAATTGGCTAGGGATAGGAAACAAGACATAACAGTCTGGTGAGGTGAGGAGAGAAATAAGTAATCAAACATAAAAGAGTGAAAAAGGTGTTTATTGCCTGAGTTGGCTTTTAAGAGTAACAGGAGGTATCCAAGTGAAGAATCGAGGGGGAAAGCATGCCTTACAGAACTACCAGCTAGTGGTTGTGCTAGCGTGTAAGCACAGATGGGAGGGCCTTCAAAGAGGTGAGTATATGGGCTCTGAGAGGAACAATGGTTAAGACATAGGCTCTGAAGCCAGAATGGCCTGGTTTAATCTTGATTCTGCTCCTTCGTGCCTTTTTCGTGTTTGTCAAACTTGAGTAATAACAGTATCATTCACATAAGATAATTGTGAGGATGAAAGGATTTAATACGCAGAATGCACTAGAAGAGCATCTGGCACAGAGTGAGTGCTCAGCATGTACGGACTGTTAACCACTTTGCCTGGAGTGTAAGTGCTTATGGGCTGGCAAGGGAGGCAGTCACCAAATGATGCACAAATGGTTGCCTTGCGAATGACAGGAGCTGAGACTCCTCTCTCCCTCTGCACACGTGTTCTGCAGTGGAGCCAGCCCAAGGATGCTCCCAACCAGGTTGATTCCCTTTATCTAAGAGACAGTGGGAGCAGTCTAGAGAACCAGGTGCCTCAGAGGTGAGCACTTTCAACCATCGTATGAGGAGAAATACCACCAGAACCTCTCTTCAGCCCTTACAGTTACCAGGCGCTCCAAGGTTACATGAGGCTGAGGGTCTCAGAGTGGACAACTCTGTGGTCCCTGCAGCCTCTTCCATGTCAGGACAGAGGACAGGTGACAGGGTGGATGGAGAAGTATGAGAGAAAGACCGTGGCTCTTAGGAATTACCTCTTATATCTGTCTGCCTTGTTTTTCTGATGTGTTTGCATCTCCTGGTACGTTCTTGTCTTCTACCCACCAGAGGACTAAGGAGGCAAAGAAGGAAGAGGAGAAAAAGAAGGAGGAGAAAGAAGAGGAGGAGGAGGACAGAGACTAATAGTTATTGAGTGCTTATGTCTTAAGCATTTTATATGTATTAATCTCACTTTTTTAGCACAACAGTCCTATGAGTTGGTTCTTTTATTATGCATAGCTTACAAATGAGAAAACAAACTAAGGCCCAGGGAGATGAAACAATTCACCCAAAGTCACACAGCTGGTAAGTGGTGGAACTGGGATTCTATCACATCTTAACCACCATGCTTCCTTTCCATGGACTCTTAAGCTTTCCAAAGGCCCTCAGCGTGATGGGCCAGCCAGGTGTGCCTTCTTCATGAGGTGTTTCATTCTCAAAGTTCTCTCTAGCCAGGTCTCTGTCTAAATAGCCAGTCTTTCAAAATGGCTAGTGATAAAATATATATATGCACGCATGTAGATTTATTTGTGTTTGTGTTGGAGTAAACTGGTATTAAGATAAAGAAGAGTTATAATTCTCTCCCAGCAGTGTGAGTCACAACATGCTCGTACACGTTCGTGCACACACACCTCCGAACACCTAATCCTTCCAGGAATATTTGACTTTTGAAAGGATTGTTAATTTGACTTACTCCTGGACAAAACATAAAGAAATCTAATTTTTTCTTGAGAACCCCTCACCTTATTCATTTTTTATTTATTGGCTGTAACTATTTTGGCCGGAGTACACGTGTTTATCTTCACTATCCTCAAACAACTAATATCCTTAAGATCAGAGCCATTGCCACCATCAAATATACATATCAGTCATTTACAAAATCATGTGCAGTGATGTTCATGTGTTACTTCTGGGGATTGCTGCATAAGCCTCAACTTTACCACAGAATATAAAGTTGTGTGACCCCTGCCCATTAAAAGAATTCGAGACATCTCTAAGACATGCACAACTGTTGTCTCTATGAGGACCAAAAGTTCAGACTTATGTGAGACTAAAGACTCAAATTTGAAAGGAAAGAGAATGAGAATAGGTCAAAATTCAAGAGAGTGATCATTTTTACCCAAAGAATTTTGTGTTTGACCCTAAGAATCTCTGTATACTACTTCACATATACAACCTCTTGCACTCTGCTTTGACAGCCTGGGGTTCACAGATTCCAGTTCCAGGCACGGACCTAGCATCACCTGTCAAGCCACGCTGTGGCAGCGTCCCACATATAATAGAGGAAGATCGGCATAGATGTTACCTCAGGAACAACCTTCCTCAAGCAAAAAGAGGAAGATTGGGAACAGATGTTAGCTCAGGGCCAATCTTCCTCACACACACAAAAAAAAGGATTATGTGAAAACAATAAGCCTTACAAAAGTCATGGTAATGTAATCAGTTCAAAGCCTCCGTTTTGGAATATGCGAGGTCACTCTTTTAGGTCGATCAAACACACCTCAAGATATCTTTGTTTTGTGGGCACCACTACACACCGTGAGAGAAATTGCAGGCAGGAATGACTAGGCGGGCTTTCAAAATCAATTTCTCCTTCTAAATTTAATTTGACTCATCAAGTACATTATCTACATGTTTTCTCCTTTCTGGCTTCTGTTGAAACAGCCTGAGTCACTATTTTGATTTAAAATTTACAAAAGAAATGCTGTCTGCAGACATCTAGCAACTTGAGTCACGGGTGTTTTCATAGCTAGAGTGTCTTAAATAGACTTGCAATCTGTAGATGCACAACTTGAGTCAGAGATGTTTTTATAGCCTCATTTTCTTATGGAGACAAAAGGAGATTTTAGGGGTTTTCCCTTAGCCTTACACAAGTATTTTTAAAGCATGTACTATGAAAGACACTATGCTAGACTGTGAAATACAGGGTTGAATAAGATAATCTCTAACCTTGAGGAGTTTGATGTCTAGTTGAGGAAATAAACCTTTAATTTTGTTGAACATGTGTTGTGTTAAGGCAATAAATGCTAATGAAAAACAGGTTATGTTCCCTTGAGAAGCTCGGTGGGCAGGAGTGTGTGGAGGATAAATAACCTAATGTTACAGTACAGGGTAGTAAATGTTAAAATAGAGTCATACACAAGGTCACCCAGAAGTGTAATGAAGAAGGGAGTGTGGAGCAAGAGAGCTCATCTGGAGGGCTGCCTAAGCTAAATCTTAAACAAGGAGTGGGAGTTAGAAGTTCAGCGGGTAAAGTAACTAGGAATTAACCAGGTTAAAAAAAATGGATAAAGGCAATTCAGAAAGTGGAAACAGCACAGAAACGAGAGTTGAACAAAATTGCCAGATATCCAAAAGATAGATTCTGAAATATGCCGTTGAAAAGGTATCGCCAACAACTACTAGAGTTCAAAAGAGCAAAAAACTACTTCTGACTAGTAGGATCTGGGAAAGGTTTCCTTGAAATGTGATATTTGAGGATGGATAAGACCATGTAAGCATAAAGCAAGGGTGTGAGGGCCACACTAGGAAGAGAATTCCAGGAAGAGAGACTCCAGTTCATTTCAGTGTTAGGTTCTGCAAACTGCAACTCCATCTTAGGCAAAACTCCCAGGCTCATATGCTCACCTATTCCCACTTTCTAGTAACAACAATAATAATCAATAAAAATAACAACAATAAAATATTATTCTACATGCTAATTTGTGGGGTTGGTTATATATTTACTATATCAACAGAGGGGCGAATAGTTAGCAGCTGCCTTTGGTGCCCTGCAGCACAAGCCCTCAGACCACCTCTGATTTCAGCCAAGTAGCAGTGGACAGCTCCATACAAACTCAGATCCAACTCAGCAAAGCCCTGCGCATCTTCTTACTTTCTGCCCCAGAACCTTCACTGACTCTGTGCTGGGCAGCCCAGAACTGCCCTGAAGACCCAGGGGTCAACTCTCTAAAAAGACAGGGTCATATACAGGGTGCTCTAGGAATGCCAGGAGAGTAGGAAGGAATCCCTTGGAGGGTTGCCTAAGCTGAACCTTTAAGGTTTTCAAGAGGTTGTGGGGAAATCTAGGCCCCCACTGTCACAGCAGCACCGTCAATAACACGCCCTCATATTGGAATTCCCTCCTTCACTATTCCCTACTTCCCGTTCCCTCACTCTAACAGCACCTGCCAAATAAACTGCTTGAACAGGAGTCTTTGCTACAGGCTCTGCTTTCTGGGAAGCTAAACCAGGACAAAATGATTCATATTTTAATTATAATGTGTGCAAATTTTAAGGTCTAGTTCATTTTTGAAAAATTATAAGGTGAAAATGCTGGTGATCTAAATATATCTCTCTTAGTACTGTAGGGTTAAACAAACAATTTGCAAGTCAAATTGAAAATGATTAAGCTAAATGAACAGCAACTTCTAATTTTAAAAAAGTAATATTCATATGAAATGAAATGCAAAACCAGTTTCAAATTTCAAAACCAATTTCAAAACCATACTATCATAACTAGCAACACATTCTTTGGGAAATTTCAGTTACCTGGGAGCTTTGCAACTGCCAAGACAATGTGTCATCCAGATCTGTTGAAAGAAGGAGAAATTCAAATCCTTGATGAACTTCATTAATGCTCTGGTGCTTATGAATACCAAAGTCAAGAAATATCTTAATATCTCCCATAATAGTTCACTGGTAGGTAAGGCTTAGTCACAGGTGAAAAGTAAGGTCTATGGACTTGTGCCTTGTTCACTGACTAAGAAGAGGCTTGGATTTTTGGATTAATTCTCAAACCACAAACTGAGGGCATGAAAAATCTTTTCATTACACAAATCCATCTACTTTGATGGGAATTTGTTCCAATGAAATTTGAGCTATTTTAAGTTTTCACAAAAGATGTATAAGAAGTATTAATTGAATTGCTTGTTTTAAGGGGAAAAAGTATTTTCTGAACGGTGGCAAGATAAAGATTCTTCTTAAGAAATTTTCTTAAGAGCTAATTTCTGTTCATTTGAAACTAACAGCAACCAAAAATGATCTCTGAGGCAGAGGGGATTCCCCAGAAGGCTGCTGAAACGACGCAAAAAGCTTCGTCAACGGAAACGCAGGACATGTTCGTGTGGAAACGATCCATGGACTCTTCTCGTTAATAGGGTCAGTTTCATTCCTTCAATAATGAGCACCCTGCCTGAACCAGACATCTTGCTCCGGACAGGAAATACATAAACAAAGCAGGCGTGTCCTTGTTCCCACTGAGTATACATGTCAGTGGGGACACAGACCATAAACAAACAGATACAAACACAAACACATAGCTAGAAATTATGATAGGTGTTAGGAAGGAGAAGTACAAGGAGAGAGAATAAGGGAAGAGCCCAAATTTAGATTAGGGTCAGGAAAGAACTCTCTGGGGAAGAACATTTATGCTGAATTTTGAAGAATTAGCAGGAAGGAGTTAGCCAGATGAAGAGTGGGAGAAGGAGGGGTCCAAAAAAAAGAACACTCATGTGCTAATCTCACAGGGCAAAAAAACAGCTCAGTTGGTTCATGGAAGATTTTTAAAACTTAATGAGCAGGAACACAATAAGCAAGGCCAAGAGTAGCTCAAGATGAAGCTGGAGAGGTGGGTAGAGACTAGACGTGTGGCTCCTTGAAGGCCATCTTAAAATGTTTGGACATTATAGTGAACGCTTTGAGAATCACAGAAACCATCTTGTCTGAACTTAAGCCAAATGCCAAAAAACAGACATCAATAGCCTCTCTGGCAAAGAGCTGATCATGCCATCTCTTCGTGAACCACATCTGCCAGGGAATTTACCATTAAAAAAGCCAGCTTTGATGCTAAATGTCATAACTAACAGGAAACTCTGCCTATACAGATTTAACTTTGTGTAGTTTACCTTGATTCAATAGAACAGGGTTGTAAGATGGATCCAGGGCAAGCCAGTAGATCCGAATTGCAAGGGAGAACCACAACTGTGGGTGTGTTTAGCTCCCAGGACTCAGATGTGATGCCTCAGAGTGGCCTTGGCAGAGTTCTGTGCAGCGGTGAGCACTTCTGTCCAGACGACAGCTACAGCAAAGAACACATTCTAGGTATGGGGTAGGGGAAGGCAGTAGAGAGAGAAGTATCTTAACTGTTATTCGGTATCTACCAGATACCAGGCACCAAGCAGGTTGTCCTGGTTTTCATATAATCTTCACAATCACCTCCATTTTACAGAAGAGGAGAAGGAGAGTCAAAGAGATTAGGTCATTGGCTCTGAGGACACAGCTGTGAAGGAGACTTCATCACCAGAGGTAAAGGGAAAAAGATTCCCTTTCACTTAGAATCCATCTCATCTTTGTATCCCCTCAAAATGTCGGCCCACGGCACACTATCAATGTTTGTTTATTAATTGACGAATTGACCCGATTGTGGCCATTCTGTGGTCTTTAAAAGGTCGTCATTGGTGTCAAATAAACAATGAGCTCATTAAAAACCACTTGTGAAACATCTAGGCCACGGGAATTTTGTTTGATGACGGTGAAAGGCGGGAGTGGGAATTTGGCTCCAGAATCTGGCGCTGGCCCATCCACAGCAGTAGAGAAACAAAAGGAAGGAAAATCTACTCACTTCTTTTGTCTTCGGGCTAACGGCAAGTCCGGTTGTAAGCGTTTCTCCACAGTTACTACATCCTGAAGTTTCTTTCGGTTTGCCTTGAAGAACGCTGCCTATAAACTGCCACTAGGTGTCCTCAAAGTAAAAGTAACAGAGCAGAAAGGACTCTGGCAGCACGTTTAAGAAATTAACTTGACTTATTTGTCCAGGTTCTTTCACTCCTGGACGCTGAGGGATAGAGTGGTATTTAGTAGATAAATGGGAGCATCTGACCTCTGCAGAGAAAAGGCATTTAAGCTGCTCGTTTTCATTGTTAATTATGCAATGTAGTACTCTGCTTCCGGAAAGCAGGCCAAGGAGAGTTTTGAACGGGCAGTGGAAACACTGTTGTCACCCAAACTTACCGGTCATCTAAGAGCATTGTGGAGTAGAGAACACGTAGGGCCAGCTTCTCACGGGCTCTGAGCTACTGAGCCATTTCTAAAGTACAGAAACTGTGCTCTGGCAGATTTTTAACATCTAAACATCTTAAAATTTAAATTAGGTGAATGGCAGTGATTGCCTTTTCCTGAAGCAGCAGCTGCAATAGCCTTTGTTTTCCTTAGTCATGGCATGGCCAAATAGAAAAGCAAAATTTAGCCATGCCCCCAGTTAGTCTTTTAAATAAACACAGACTTTTTCCCCATCCATCTCTGCAGGCTCAGAGTCCCCCCTCCTGCTCCCCTCCCTCCAGGCCCCTTCTTCCCAGTTCTTTTTCCCATCTCCACCCCTTCTGTCTCTCTTCCATCTTCTCCCTCTTTTAATCATTTTTACACAAAACGTCAATTTTCTCATTATGATCTTTTAGACACTCAACTTAAATAAGCACCTGCCCTGGCTTTGGAGAGCCAGGAAAGGAAAAAAAATAGAGGAAAGGAGAAAAAGATTAGAAAACAGGTGTCTCTCTCTGCATGGGTCCCAAACTTAAGAAGGAAAATGAGGCCACCAGGGGGGGGGGGGGGGGGGCGGTGATAAAAGCCATGGAGGGCTGCTCCCCTTCATTTTCCCTGCCTCAAATGCTGGATTCCTATATCATGTTTTAGGAATTTCTAATCTTACCACAGCCGGATGACTCATACACACTGACTGACTCTATAGGCTTCTAGAAAACACCTGCAAAGATAAACTTAACCAGAAAAACAATCTCTCCCTCCATGGCAGCCTTTCAAGGTAGGCAGGGGAATTTTCAGCATTTATTTCCATTTTGTTCACCGAAGACTCACAGGCCTTAAACTTGATTTCAGTCATAATTGTGTCGGACAGTCCAAAACGATTTCCAAATCAAGTGGTAACTGGGCCTGGGGCTTGCTTCTGCCTGGGGAGGGAAACAGAAATGAGACAAAGATGACCTTATTTGGGGCCAGAAAGAACTGAGATTCCCGTGGGAAGCCCCGCTGTCTGCTTGCGGAAGCTGGCTCTCTGGCTCCTCAAACTGTCCCTTCCCTCATGCACCTCACTGGCCCTGGGTTGCCCTTTGGGGACACATCTTCTTCTTCATCTCCCTCAAGGCTGACTAAGATCTTTGTAACCAAAGACTCTCTGAATTCAAGTCATATAGGAGAAAGAAAGTGGGGCCCACAGAGTCTAATTTAAAACAAATGTTAACCAAGCCCACAGCAACAATCGCATACCAGCACAGCTCTTCTTCTTGTGTGAGAATCAGAAGGGCAAAGGAATCAAGAAAATACTGGAAAGTGCATACAGAAGTTCTGAATTCAGAAACCCTGGACATTGGAGTAAACCATACATACAAACGAATAACTACCTGTTTAATTCTTGTTTCTAAGATGACAGCTACTTAGTCAAGCACTTAAAATATTCCTGGCTCTGTGCTAGTGGATCTACAAACATTAATTAATTAAATACTCCAACAACCCTAAAAGGTGGATATCATTTTTTAATTGATATAATTGACATATAACATTGTGTAAGCTTAAGGGGTACAATGTGTTGATTTGATACGTTTATATATTGCAATATGATTACTACCATATATCATTATTATGTCCATTAACAGGTAGGAAGATTGTTGCTCAGAAAGGTTTGAAACTTTCCTTGGAGAGAACAGCAAATTCCTCTGACATAATTTGAGTGAAGGATACCTGAGAGCCTAAGGGATCTGGGAATTAGGAAAAACTGAATTAGAATTTAAGATGGGAAATTAGACCATTTGTTAATTTTTGGATCTTCAAAAGTGAAAACACCCAATATTTCTCAGCATACAAGGAGGGAAGCATACTCTCTGACCATCCCCTGTTTTTGTCTTTCTCTCTTTTGAAAGATGATCCATATTCTCTCCCAGTAGACTCCATTCCTCATTCAAAGCATCCGTGGGCACAATGGCCCAGGATTTGAACCCAGGATGTTCCACCCTGGATTCCTATCTGCTTTGCTGGGCTGACTTGCCACTGTTGGCACCCTTCACACCACTGCCATTGAGACCCAGTTTGCAGGGGAGAGGGACCGAAACTCTTAGAAATCTGAGTGTTCTTGTGTGAATGAAGGGGGACAACTGTGAAATGCCAATGAAATGGAGGAAAACTGACTGCCACAGCCAACTTCCTTTAGAAGCTAGCTTGTCTGAAATACTATATCCCATTCACAAGACAGTCCCTGAGGTGGTTTACGTCAGTGCTACTCAGTGTGGTCTAGGACCTCTGAACGAGATAAGAACAGAAATTGGGTGTATAGAAACCTTTGGTGGCACGACATCATCCAAGCAAAAGATTCCATATGTCCAAAAATATCTGTCTGCCACGGTTTGGAAATAAAGACAATTGGTCCTTCAAGACAAACAGTTTAAGGAGCACATTTATTTCATGAGGATCTTGATAGGTGTCTCCAGGGCTGTCTTATGAGGCTTAGGAATCATTCAGCAAAACTCAAGTTTATTGTCTGCCTCTCCAACTAGAACCTAAATTCCCCAAGAGGGGGATATCCTTAGTTCCTACTATCATGCCTGATGTTCAATTAATATTTGTTGAATGACTGAAATACACTCATTTCCCAGTGAGAAATGCCCAAAGTCTTGTCCATGAGTTGCTCTGGACCACTTTTGAAAGTGGGTCACAAGACCCAGGCATGGCTGGTCTTCTGCTCCTAGCCTGCCTCCTCACCAGCCTGCCATCTGTGCTCCCTCACCCAGCCCAGACTCCCACCTCCCTAGGAGGAGACATACGAGAAATTATTTCCATTTATTTTCCTAGATGAGCTTCAGAATCATTTGGGCACATTTTCCAAAAAGTTCCATTGAGACTTTGACTGACCTTAAATATATAAACTAATTTGAAAAGATACACATCTTTACAACACTGAGTCTTCTTCTCACTCACCAGTAGGATTTGTCTATTTTCCTGTCTTCTTTTCTAACTCGTAGTAAAATTTTGTAGTTTTCATGTTTCTACATATTTATTGGTAAACTAATTTTAGGAGGCTTTATTTTTATAGTTGCTGTCGTGTATAAGGGTCCTCCTATACCCTTTTCTTTTCTAATTGTTGGTATAGAAGAAGAAAGGAATCATGTTGTGAATGTTTATTTTGTATCCCTTCACTTTAAGGATTGGCACCTGGGCTAACAACTGTTGCCAATCTTTTATTTTTCACCCTGCTTTATCTCCCCAAACCCCCCCGCACACAGTTGTATATCTTAGTTGCAGGTCCTTCTAGTTGTGGCATGTGGGACGCCGCCTCAACGTGGCCTGATGAGCGGCACCATGTCCACTCCCAGGATCCCAACCCTGGGCCGCTGCAGCGGAGCGCGCGAACTTAACCACTCGGCCACAGAGCCAGGCCCTGTATCCCTTCACTTTAGCTAAACTTTGACTAATTCTAAGAATTTTTCATTTGAGTAGCTTGGGCATAACAGAATATTATCGACAACTGATCGTTTTATCTTCTTCCATTTCCTTCCTCCGGTTCTCCCTGTGTTTCTTCTCTTTTTCTTATTGCATTCAGCAGAGTGAATTTGTCTTAAAGAAACATTTGGTTGGGAAGAAATTTAAGATGCAACAGAATATTTGAGGAACAAAATCATGAGAGTCCACATCTCAATCTGGGATGCTGCCAATGCAGTACTTAGAGGAGGTTTATTGCTCTCCCTGCTTGTATTAGGGAGGAAAAAAAGAGAAACAATAAATTAAGTCAATACCTGATGAACTTTGTTCCCTTTAAGTTACAAACCAAAAGAAAGAGGAAAAAACAGTAATAAATTTAAACCAGAAGGAAGAATAAGAAAGAGAATTGCTAAAAAACAATTTATCTTTCCTCACAAACAGTTTAAGAAACACTAGTATCTTATCCTAGTCTCTCAGTAGGTGTCTGTGGGGCTACCCTGTAAAGCCTAAGAGGCATTAAGCAAAAGTCACTCTGCAAAGAGACATTTTCCTTCAGTCCACAAACTACTTTCTAAAGTTCTTGAAGCCTGTAGGCCTTGAAAATAAAACTAATGGATACAGTTAAAAGTAGTTTTTGAATTAGATTCCAAGGCTAAATTTGAAATAAAAGTGTGACTAGCCACTGTCTGCATTTTTATTTTAAAGAATGGTGGATTTCTTCTGCTCAGGCAGCTCAGCCATAGAGTGCTTGGTCGTTCTTGATAAGAGGCAGACCTGTATCCTGCCTGCCCTGTCAAAAGAAAGCCCAGTGGGCATTTCTTCAATAGAACCTGCAGAGACCAACTCTGGGAGTTGCCCGGATGAAGAAGGATCAACAGTCTTCTTGGGGGTACAGAGGCTGTGGGAACAACTCTACTCACTTCTCTCCATCAGCATACACCTAACGCTGATTAAAGGGTGAGCAAATGTAATTTATAAGTTGTTTATCTCAGGCCTTTGCTCAGTGAAGAAATCATCTCCCATAAGAATTTTGAAATTCTAAGCTTTACAAGAGGAAGGTGTCGGGTGGGAGGTTTAATTTATACCTCTGGGAAGTCCTGGAGCACACAAGCAAATACATTAAATTAAATATGCCTCTAAGTTGATAAAACCCCAGGATCTGGTCAAAAAGAAGCATAAATCCTTTCTGGAACATCAGGCATTGTCATTCAAGTCCCCTCAAAGATGAAAAAAAGTATTAGTTATAAAATAAAGGAAAAAAAGGAAGCAATCTGTTTTCACCTGAATAAAACCGCACACACAAAAATGCTCTTGTCTCAGAAAGTAAACCATGTGTCATAGCAAGTTAAACAGCATGAAATGTTATATTCAGTCAATCCTTACTCTACACCTAAGATAAATGAGGACCAGAGAGAAGAACTGTCTTTCTTTGGGTCTAATGGCTATTTAAAGGAAAGGACACATCTCCTGATCCCGCTAATTTCTAACTGTATCATGCCTACATAATGTGTCCTCCACATGATTCCTGCCTTCACACATCATACACTTTCCCCCATGTGACCCCTGTAGGACTTGACCTCAGAATGTAAATAATAATTACAGTCACTTACAGGAACTTCTTGTTATGTATGCCTAATTAAATTACAACAAGGTCATGTATGTTTCTAGGAAATTCCCAGCTAAAAACCACTATAACTTATATTTTATCAGAAAATGATACTGCCCCCGTGTACTTATTCTTCCTAATTTCTACCAATTTTATCTACTCCCAAGCAAACACTGGCACAAATATTTCTGAACTTCATACCTATGTGGTCAGAAGAGGAAATAGGATGCAAGGATGGGTAATGAGCATTTATTCTAACCGAAGACTTCTGAAGTCCTGGGCACTGGGTTGCCTAGAGTTTTTTCAGATTTTCTTTCCACAGATTTGTAGTTACACTGTGAGCTATTACATGCAACGTAGATTCATGCAGTGCTTCTCCCAAGCTCAGGTTCCAAACTGTCTGCCCTGGTCCCTGTTCACTTTAGGAGCAGTCCTAGATTCTGTCCTGCTCTGCGAACATGCAGTTGAAGTTCAGAAGGACTATTTAGGAGTCCATTTGTTTACGGAGAAGACATTTTCTGAGGAGCAGGAGAGGAGTTGCTGGGCATCTCGGCTCTCCATGTTAGATAAGTTCCTTGAGGACCAGGAAAATGATTTCATTTTCAAATTATTTTTGAAATATATCTTTTTGTCATGAGTTTTTAGAGTCTATTTACAGGCAAAAAATCTAAATTTTAGAACTTTAGGAACTTTTAGCTGTCACCAGTTAGCTACGTCTAAAATTCTTCATTTTTTGTTCTTTAAGAGATTCACATTTTCTCATTACAAACTGACAAGAAGTAACAGTTGGTACCAAAATTGACTTCATTACATAAGATCTTTAGGTGCCCCAAATAAAATCCTTTTTTTATCCACTTTAGTCCAAATATGGATGCA